TTTATAAATTTATCAAGGGTTCCTGAGGGAGGGAAAGCGGGGAGGGAGGGGGAAAAGGGCTCAATGGAAAAGTTAATGTCTAGAAAAGAACTAATGTACTAATATGTCAGATACAAGTGATACATGTGTTGTAACGAGTTGTACGAGCCCCCAATAAAATGATTTAAGAAAATAGTCACAGGCGCGGAAACCCCCCGGGCAGAGGTCGCTATGTGTCAGCTGCGGGGAAGGCAGGGCTGCTCCTGCCGTAGGATTCCCAGGGGGCACACAGGGTGAAAAAGGAGAAGCCCACGTGCTCTCTCTGATCTACGATTGGGGGATTCACACGGTCAGCAGTTCAAAACCACCGGCCGCTCCTCAGAAGGAGGATAGGGCTTTCTACTCCTATAAACAATTACAGTCTGGGAAACTCACAGGGCCAGTTCCCCTTGTCCTATAGGGTCACTATGAGTCAGCATGAACGCCATGGCAGTGAGTTGGGGTTTTTGTTTTTGTGGGGTTTGTCTTGAGGGGGGGGTGAGCGGTGAACATATAAGCACACCCGCACATTCACCAACCCAACAGTCTCCACACACGCTGCAGGGACATGGCTGCCCTGCCTCCTCTGCCTCCATTCCCTGTAGCCTTCCCAGAGTCCTCCAGCCACTCAGTGCCCCGCCCGCCCCCCTCCTGCAAATGAGAGTTGAGTTCTCTTTGGATCAGCCCCTATGGAGCCGTGTGCTCGCGTGTGCTGGGTGTTGTGAAACGTGGTTCACGATGAGGACGAAGCCTCTTCCTTCCCTAGTCTTCTGCTTATTTACGTAGCACTTACAGCAAGTGCTAAGGAGCCCTGGTGGAACCGTGGTTTACGCGCCGGGCTCCTAACCGCAAGGCTCTGTCCTTTAGGGTGGTTATGGGCGGGAGAGACTGGTGGCAGTGGGTTATAGCAGGTTCTAGTTCATCGGGGGAGCAGGGTGAGATAGTTTATGGTGCCAGCCTGGCCGATAAACACAAGTGGGATTAACTGAAGGGCAGAGAGATAAATGGCTGGGTGAGCCTCGCCTTTCTTGTCTCTCGCTCTTTGATCATTGGACCAGTGTGCGGCTGCCTTGCTTGTCCTGTGCCTCAATTTACAAGCTACAGTACCTGTGGGACGCCTAGCCTGTGGACTGTGTCGCTGTAAGTTGAGGTCCCTTTAAGACATCGCTGGAGCTGGGGACTGGCGGTTGGTGACCTGGCTGACAGTTGGTGACCTGCCTTCTGATTGGCTGCTGTGCTGAGATAGCCTAGCTCTCTCTACAGATAGAAGAAGACCTGGCAGCAGACTGGACTGGAAGGACTGCTAGTGTCTCACAACTCTCTCTCACGGGAGTGAGTTGCACTGAGCCATTTGTAGTGCTTTATAATTTAACTGTTCATTTCTTGTATTATATATTTATCTGTATATAATTTAACAGTTCATTTCTTGTTATCTTTATAAATAAATATATTAAATTATCAGCAATTTGGTTTTCTCTCTCTAGAGAACCCTGTCTAACACACAGGGGGACACGTCACCTATGCAAACAGCCACGCAGCTCCATCAGAACCAAGATGAGCCACTTCTAGCTCCCCAGGAAGTCCCCAGTGCCTGTCAGCAGCCCCCACACTGTCACTGGTCTGCTCTTGAACTTCCAGCCTCACAGGTTAGTGTCTCTGACTCTGGTTCACTCACCTCGTTGGCGCTAACCATTGGCTGTCTTGTTGCCGTGTGCTGAGAATTCTGGTGGATAATCGCAGGGACAGACCACCTTTCACCATGTCTCGCTTGATTGCTGTCCTGGGAGCAACTGCATTTTCCTTACAAACCAGAAGGTCACCTCTCATGGAACAGGTCTATCAGCGCCATTTTCCTGATGGCCCCTGCTCACCTCCTGCCTCTGTGCCCCGCCCTGGTCCTGCTTGCCACCTCGCTCAGGCTCTCCCACCACGCTGTGCTCTCTTCACAGACTGCAGCCTAGTGCCAAGGTCACCGGGGAACCCAGAAGAGAGTAAGAGCTGCGTGATTGCAAGCTTCGCTTCACAGGGATGGTCTGGAACGGACCCCAAGAGAGCATCGTCATTCCCTCACCCAACCTACTGTAGGAGCGTGAGGAGCCCGGTGGTATAGTGGATGACAAGTTGGACTGTCAACCATGGGGTCAGCAGTGCGAAACCACCCACCACCCTGCCGGAGAAAAATAAGGCTTCCTACTCTGATAAAGATGTACAGTCTCTGAAACCCACAGGGCGGTTCTACTCTGTCCTATAGGGCCCCATGAGTTGGAATGGACTCAGTGTCAGTGAGTGTGGGCTTTTGGGGTGGGGGCAGGAGGTGAGCATTTGGGTTGTTTCTAGTTTGGGGTGATGGTGGGGAACTCTGCCGTGAACACCCACGCCCACGCCCTGCGGTGAGCATGTACACTCACTGGGCGTGGGTGCTCTTTCTCTAAAGATTAAAGTCCCTTTACAAGGAGGAAGGCAGACAAATACTCGGGCACCTGTGTCCATCGCAGCCCAGAGGTGGAAACAAACCAATGGCCACCGGCAGACGACAGAGAAATGAGACGTGGCCCAGATAGATGGCCACAGTATTATGATTCTGCCCTGACTAGCCAGGAAGCTACAACACACAGGGGCCTTGCAAACACGATGCTGAGCAAGGTCAGCCCACTACAGAAGAGCAAACGTGCCAGGGACCCCGTGTGTACAAATCTCTATAATAAGCCAGTGTGTCAAGACAGGCGGGGAATGAGTGGTTACTGTGGGCCAGGGGTTGGGAGAAGAGGGAGTTCGTGCTTCATGGGGCTTGGGGCAATGAAAAGGTTTGGGAATCTGTCATCATTAGGTTTTGTGTCAACCTGACTGGGCCAGGATGCTCAGTAGTTTGGCAGCTGGCTGAGGCCTCCCATAGGTCTAATGATGTGATCTAACATCATACAATCCACTCCATTCTCGGATCTGCTGTGAGCATCCAAGCATCCAAGCTGTAGGATTAGCGTGGGGTGCAACCCCCTTCCTCGGGCCACCGCCCTGGTGCAATCGGAAGAAGCTTTCCTTGGGAGTGTGGTCTGCTTCCTGTATCAATAGACACTGTGGGAAGCAGGAGTGCTTTCTGTTGAGTCTTGCTTCCGTCTCTGGCCCATCGACCTCCGGTTCTTTGAACGTGAGCCAACTTCCTGCCATACTGCTCGCCAACACCAGGAGCTATCGGCAACTTGTCATCTGGCCTGCCGACCTTGGGCTCTTCTCCCGCCAGTCACAGCCTGGCCTGCTGGCCTCGTATCTACCGGTCTCTGCCTGTGGTGTTCCTGCTGATCCCAGGTTCATCAGCCTCCCCCTCCCACCCCACCACGGGCGGCATGCTTTGAGTCCGGAGAGGCCTCCAGCTTAGCATGTGACGCACAGACTTGAAACTGGACTCACGCATGTCCACAACTGTGGGAACTGTGGGAGCCATTTTCCTGAGAGAACTTTCTCTCGGTGTACGTGCGGCTGCTTCTGTTTCTCCAGAGAACTCCGTGGTTACACAATACTGGGTGTGTAGCTGACACCCCTGGGAGTAGATTCATGGACCCACCTGGATAAAACTGGCACACGTGAAAAGCCCACCAAACTCACCATCAGCAAGTCCATTCTGGCTCACAGAGACCCTGCAGGCAGGTCGAACTCCCCTGTGGGGCAGAGACTGACGCTATCAGAGCAGAAAGCCTCATCTTTCTCCCTTTGAGCAGCCCGTGTGTTTGAACCACTTACCTTGGGGTTAGCAGCCCGACACGACACGTAACCACTGCACCAAGGCTCCTCATGGGAAGCTGTATCTAAACCGCCACCCCCACCCGCAGAGGAGCAGTCTGTATCACCGAGACCCCACAAGTGCCAGAGCCGAGGAGGGTCTGGCCTCGAACCTCTGGCCTTCCGATGAGCAGCCAAGAGCATTCATCTTTTACCCCCACCAGGGATGTGTGTGGGTTTTTTTAAAAGCGCCATTTCTGGGCCCCCGCTCAGTTCGTGTTGATAGATATAACAACCTGGGGGGGGGGGGCAGGATGATCTGGATCACTGAGGGGCACCCATCTCCCAGGGGGGGAGGAAATCACCCCCCAGGTGGGGAGAGGTGCTGTCCAGGCCCTGAGACCTGGCAGCCTGGACAAGCCCTTCACACCTCTTCACACCTCTTCCCCTTTAATGAAGGTGGAGAGCCTGTTCTATGTACGGAAGGGGGTGAAGTCGCAGTTACCATAGTGACCCTGGACAAAGTTCTTTCTTTTCTTCTGCTCGCCACAAGACTTTCCTTGTCTCTCCCTGGCGGCTGCTATTGAATTTCAGAGAAAGAGAGGCAAGGAGACAGGGAAGGGGGCCAGGAGCCCCCAGCCCCCAGACACAGAATTCCCACAACCCCAGAGAGCTTGCCCAAAGAACCTGGAGCTGTCCCCATCCCCCCGACGGCCTGAAACTGGAGCCGGGCACTTTTAAGAAGGCGATGGATTCTTTTTTGTGTGGTTGTTCTCTTCTTAAACTGCCTTCGGGGAATCTGCAGAGTGGGGACGCCTTCCTGAGCGGAAGCGCTGGGTGTGGAGCGATACAGCATTCGGAAGCAGAGCAAGGATGCTCGGGCGGTGGGATAAACCTGGTCCACCCCCGGCCCGTGCACCAGAGGAAGGTTGGTGAGGCAGCAACTGGGTTTTGTTCCGGTTCGTTTCAACGTTGTGCTGTGAGCCGTTGGAGGCTGACAGCACAAATCCATTTTCCACTCAACAACTCACACACAGCGAGTCCCGTCTTACCGCTGACTGTCCCCACCGCATCCCAGTCCTCTTCCCACGTCCTCACACCTCTGCCTTCCCAGCTCTCTCCAGGCCCCAGGCCGCCCTTTGGACCTCCTGGGGCCAAGTGTTCTAAGGAGGGGGGTCTCCCAGGTGTGACTGCTGCCCTGCCAGGCCTGTCTGTCATTTGGCTGCAAGTGAAGCTACCGTGTGTGAAAGGTGTCCTCAATCATTTTAACCATGGGTTGTTTTTTTTCTGTTAACCCTGCCTCTTATCTCTATCGAGGGAGCCTTGTGGCGCAGTGGGTATGCATCAGGAAGCTAACCTCGAGTCAGCAGTTGGAGCCCACCGGTGGCTCGAGGGAGAAAGACGAGGCTTTCTACTCCTGTACAAAAGGACAGCCGACCAAGGCTCAAGTAGAACATGCTTTGGAAATGACCATGGCAACATAGGTACAAAGATGCTTGATACAGTCGATGTCTGGAATGTTATAAGACCTGTAAGAACCCCCAATAAAATGATTAAAAAAAAAAAAAGAATTACAGCCTCGGAAGCCCAGAGGGGTGGTTCAACCCGGGCCTATAGGGCCTATAGGGTCATTGCGAGTCAGAATCGCCTCGGCGGCAGTATTTGCTTTTGGTTTCCTTTGCTGTCGCTTCTATGCATCCCTCTATTCACAACATTCTCATTTCTCAGGAAAAGTGAGGTCACTCCCTCCCTGTCCTTTTATGGCTGGCTTAGATCACTCAGCGTCCTGTCCTTGAGGTTCATCCAGGTCTGGGGGCAAGGACTTCCGTTGGGGAGAAGAAACCCCTAGAGAGAGCTTGGCGTGCCTTTGAACAACGCGACTGTTAGTTAGGCAGTCTTCTGGAGACTTCTCTTTAAAGACTGTGGCATTCCCAGCAGGCCGGCAGGGGCATGCCGGCTCCTTTAGGACGGAAATGGGCTTTTCACACTGAGTTCTCGGCAACAGACTCCCATTCTGAGCCAGCCCTGGGTGCTCAGACAGCCAGGCGGCCACTGGCCTCGATGAGGGTGGAGGGGGGCGTTCAACTCCGCAGTGCCAGGTTCCAGAGCCAGGCACTGGCGGGAACACAGGACTTAACTTCAAATGCCCCTGCAGAACTCAGGGAGACGTGGCCTTTGGAGCCATGCACAGCCCTGGAAAACCCCTGTGTGATCTAGGGGGTGTGACTCAACCTCTCTGGGCTTGTTGTTGTGGGGTGCCGTCGAGTTGGTTCCAACTCATAGAGACCCCACACCCCAAACCCTAAAACCACACTGCCCCGTCCCGTCCCACTGTCACAATTGGTGCTATGCTCCAGCCCATTGCTGCAGCCACCGTCAGAACATCCCCAGGTGATGGTGGTGGGTGGCCACAGTGGAGGAGCACTAAGCTGTGGCCCACTTAAAAAAAAATAACATCAGAACTCACTGCCATGGAGCAGATTCCAACTCATGGCAGCCCTACAGGCCAGAGTAGAACTGCCCCTGTGGGTTTCCAAGACCGCTGATCTTTACGGAAGTCGAAAGCCTCCTCTTTCTCCCAGCTCGACGTTCACCACGGCCAAAGTCACTGCCACCACGGGACTCGTCTTCATATCCGCTCTACAGGACGCATGGCACTGCCCCTGTGTGTTTCCGAGACTACATTTTTATGGAAGCAGAAAGCCTCATCTTTCTCCCAAGGAGTGGCTCCTGGGTTTGAGTTGCTGATCTTGCGGTTAGCAGGTCAGTTAGGTTCATGCAAAAGCCTAACGTGCTAAGCTGGCTTACTTGTTAAGAGCACAGGCGGCCCACCCACTTACAAGTCTGGCTGGAGTCCCACCCTCTGTTCCCACCCAACAGCCGTGAAGCCTACTGTATACAAAGTTGGAGGTGCATACAGGCACTCCTAACCAGAAATCAAAGGCTGCGATGCATCGAAACAAGACTGGCTGTATTGTCATGTGAAAGCTGTTCTCACGTACCTGCACGTTTCATGACTGATTTTATGCACAGAAAGCTACCCCGTATACCACACACTCAGACAAGCATCAGACCAGTTAGATTGGGACCTTCCCAAACTGCTCAAAAAACCTCCTCAAAGTCACCGCCTTTGAG